ATTTTACTGATATGTATAAAGACTGCAAAGGCTGAAAAATCTTGAAGTCTGGATGAAATTGGAGGTAGTTTGAGGATTAAATTTTTTATGCTTGTTAAGCTAAAGGGGGGGTCGTATTACATGAAATCATATTATACTGTGTAATAAATACAGTATTTGCAGACAGCTCAATTTAGACTTAAATAAAAAAGTTGTGTTTGTTTTGACCATTTGAGCTGTGACACTTTTGCTTCCTGTTACCTGTCGCAGCTCCGTACACCATCATCACCTTTCCCTTCCTGTTTGCCGTGATGTTTGGCGATATGGGTCACGGTATTCTGATGACCTCTGCCGCCCTCTACCTGGTCCTCCGTGAGACCCGCATCCTGGCTCAGAAGAGTGACAACGAGGTTGTGTTTGTCACGAACACAGAATGATTCAGACGCTCAGCACACACATTGTAAACTGACCCATGAAGACGTTTCTCTCTGCAGATTTTCAACATGATTTTTGCTGGGCGCTACATCGTCCTCCTGATGGGGATCTTCTCGGTCTACACTGGCATCATTTACAACGACTGCTTCTCCAAGTCCCTGAACATGTTTGGTTCTGGTTGGAGTGTCAGGCCAATGTTCGGTTCCAAAGGAGCCAATTGGTCGTAAGTCAGTCGTCCCTCTGCTTTCCTGAAATCCTCCATGTGATGACATCGTTTCAGCCTGAGATCCACATGTTACCAGTAAACCGTTGTAAACAGGCAGATACATCCTCATGTTCTAAAACAAATGTTTTCCCTCCACATCCTGCAGGATCCAGAACCAGGGTCAGAGTTCAGTCCACGCATTAACTCACTGTTGATCTGTCCCAGGTTTGAGGCGCTCGAAGCAAATCCAGTTCTACAGTTGGACCCTGCTGTTCCTGGTGTCTTCAACGGACCATATCCTCTTGGAATTGATCCGGTAAAATGTGCCCACTCGCTACAATACGTAAATAAAGTTTAAAGTTTAGTCCACACAGGTTGGACTTGAAAGGTTTCCAGATGGAGACATTCTAACTCTACTCTAAGATGACAAACAAATAATCCAGAACCACTGTATGTTGTGTTCAGATGAGAACAAACATGGAGCTGTCACATCTTTGTCCTGCTGTCTCTACAGATCTGGAACGTGGCCACCAACAAGCTGACTTTCCTCAACTCCTTCAAGATGAAGATGTCAGTGATCCTCGGGGTCATCCACATGCTGTTTGGAGTTTCCCTCAGCCTCTTCAACCACCTGTACGTTCCATTAATGTCTGACAGCTTTCCTCTTATATTTGTCTTTACATGATGAAACAAAGGAGCCCTGCAGCCCATGAGTTATCAGCTTCTTCTTCTTCTTCTTCTTCTTCTTCTTCTTCTTCTTCAGGTATTTCAAGAAGCCTTTGAACATCTTCCTGAGCTTCATCCCAGAGATCGTCTTCATGTCCAGCCTGTTTGGATACCTCATCCTGCTGGTCTTCTACAAGTGGACAGCCTATGATGCTTTCACATCTAAAGATGCTCCCAGTTTACTCATCCACTTCATCAACATGTGTCTGTTTAACTACAACGACCCGACAAACAAACCTCTCTACAGGGGACAGGTGCTGCTTCACACACGTCTGTCAGACAGCAAGCTTTAAAGCTTCTGTGGGAAGGTTTTCATATGATGGTGTTACCTGTTGGAAGTGCTTCAGCCGTTAAAATAACTGCAGTTTATACAGCAAAAACACCTGTGTTAGTTTAACACCCACAGTGTTAGTTTAACACCCACAGTGTTAGTTTAACACCCACAGTGTTAATTTAAACACCCACAGTGTTAATTTAACACCCACAGTGTTAATTTAACACCCACAGTGTTAATTTAACACCCACAGTGTTAATTTAAACACCCACAGTGTTAATTTAACACCCACAGTGTTAATTTAACACCCACAGTGTTAGTTTAACACCCACAGTGTTAATTTCAACACCAACAGTGTTAATTTAAACACCCACAGTGTTAATTTAAACACCAACAGTGTTAATTTAACACCCACAGTGTTAATTTAACACCCACAGTGTTAATTTAACACCCACAAAGTTTCTATGTGTCCACACTCGCTGGTGTTAAAATAACATTTGTGAAAGTGTTAAATTTTAACACCCATTTTATTTGTTAATTTAACACCAACCAGTCTTTAATATTCAACAATTCTTGGTGTCACATTAACATAAATAAAGTGTTTGTGTTAAAATATAGTGTTAAAAGTAACACCAGCCAGTGTTTAATATTCAACAATACTGGGTGTTATATTAACATTTCAACAGTGTTAAAGGTAACACCAGTGTATTATTATTATTATTAACAAAAGAAATTGTGGTGTTAGAATGGTTTACAGACATTACAAGGTGTTTAAACAACATATATTTGAGAGTATTAATTCAACACTCAGAGTTAATATCAAACCTTTGTTGCATTAACACTACTCAGTAGAAAAGTGTAATGGAGTCACCCTTCACACACCAGGACAGACTCACTCATGGTGTCGATTTTTGGCCAATAACATAAACTTAAAGTTGAACAACTTGATCAAACTGAACAAGAAAACAAACCAGAACAACTAATTTTACTCTCATAAACTTCTTTAATAGTCATAAACATTCAAAAACATCATTTCTGCAAGATTTCTCAGCAAGGAATGCTGGGTAAATACTGCTCTGTCTGACATGAGGTGGAAGAGGGCGGGGCTTTTCCTTTCAACACTGCTTGGTGTTAAATAACAACACTGTTAAGTGCTGTGGGCGGGGCTTATTTAACACTGTCCAGTGTTGAGACAACACTGATGAAATCAACACTGATTTAATACCAACACTGAGTTTACTTAAAAAGTGTTAAAATAACACTAGGGGGTGTTAAATCAACACCCAAAAGTTTAACACTGAAATTTTAACACTCCTGTTTTTGCTGAACTTTTTTTTTTCCTGGTCAGTTACACCCAACCTAACTGTGCTCAGTAACCAGGCTGTTTTTATTACTACAACCTAATAATAATAATTCATTTATTCATTTCATACATTCAAAGTGTGCAGCAACATGTTTCCTACATGAAGTACGATGTGATCTAATGAGAAACACACAGGTAGAAGGGAAAATAAAACTTTACACAGTTCATATTCTGTCCTAAAACACCTACAGAAGCCTGGAATTAGATTAGATTATTGTTCAGATCTGGAGAAGTATGGAAAAATAAAAACAGGGTCAGGACAATCATTTTTCAGAACTTTATAAAAGTTTACATTTTTAAAAGTTGCTCAAACAACCTGGAGATTTTTCACCAGTTCAATTACTGCAAATAAGAACAGTTTTAGTTTATTTGTCAATAGATTTCTCAATACATTCTGAAGTCATCAAAGAAATTTAGATTTAAACCTGTTTAACAGATGATCTAAATCAGGAAAACTAAACAGGAACATGACAAAAAAACAGATTTTTGTTAGAAATTCATTTTGATAGAAAGTTGTGAGATTCTGATCCAAAATCTACAGAGCCCACACTATAATATGATGTGGTCACCACATAGCTAATTCTTGTTGTCATTTCCATGCACACTGTATTTTTGATGTTAATGTTTCATTTGAGTTTTTTCATCTTGGAGTTAAGAAAGTCTTCAGAGTTCAGTGGACCTCATCCAAGAACATGTTCGTATTTTTATCCTAAATTTCTCTTACTTTTGTTCGTATGAAGGGTTCGTACGAACATGTCACGTCAGATTCAACAAACTCTTCTATCTTCAGGAAAAGTGCGTAAATGAGCTGTGTAAACATGATGACTGCCACATGTATGTATTCAGGTGCTCGTGCACGGGGAGAGGTGATTAGCATAGTCTAGCACCCTAAAAACACTTTTCCTGCCCCACACACCAGGAAGTGGCCAGTCCTGCTCTCAGAGATCCAGAAAACAAACTGTCATTTTAGCAGCGTCAGCTGTGGAACTAAAGGAGCAGCTAAAGCTGAGGAATGAAATGATGACTGCTGTTACAGTCACAGAAACAAAAACCTACATCAAAGTCATCTCTCTCTAGTCCTGCTCCAGGTTTCATTTGGACAAACGTTTTTGATTCATGTGCACACAACTATGGTAAATAATTTTCATTTATTCAGAAGATCGATGTGCCTGTCACGCCCCCCGCCCCCCCATCTTCCCAGCATCACAAGTGATAGATGCAGTTCTGAGAAGATAATTTTGAAATAGCTGATGTGCTGAATAAATCTCAATAAAATGAAAATAACAACTATGTTTGAATAAAGCTCGATATAAACTGAGACAAATTAAACTTCAATTAATGCATAATTTAAGATGGTTTGTAGTTTGAGATCTTCATATTAATATTGTTGTGTTATACAACTGCATTAATAGCCAATTTATTTTAATTTAACCAGTGTATGTCGTTAGTTTACATTATTACATTTAAAATTATAATTCAAACAGAACAACCTACTGTCAGCATAATTATGGAGTGTGATTTATTTTCAACTCTAAACATCAGCGTCACATTATGAGATAATTAACATGCAGCCAGCAGCAGGAGCAGCATTATGTTCCTGCTGGTGTAATGTATGTTTAAGTTGCTGTCTGCAGCTGGTAAGATGTTGATTGTTCATAACCTTTCTACAGAACCACACTTAACCTGAAGGATTAGTTTAGATTTGATCAGCGATCAGTACAAAGTAATCTTCATTTATTTTGTGTCAACATTGTGTCAGATCTTTGTGCTGCTGTACTTTTATGTACACATATTTGTATGTAAATGTGTAGCAGTGTGTATAGGACACGTGTTTTGTGGAGGTGTGATGGAGTTGTCAGCTATAATAACATGTGTAATCACACAGTTAACCAGCAGCAGCATGTTAACTCGTCTCTGTTCTGCTCTGTAGATGGGGATCCAGGTTCTGCTGGTGCTGGTTGCTCTGGCATGTATTCCCTGTATGCTGATAGTGAAAACCCTGGTGCTGCGGCGCCAGCACCTGTGGAAAACCCATCTGGTATGTGCTTCCTGTCCCGGCTGCTTCTGCTCCGCCTTTGATTTAACCTTTTTTTCCCTGTTCTGTCATTTATTTCATCGTTCATCACATCGTCTGATTTGATTGGTTGTTTCAAATGAAAAATACCTAAAACTGCTGTGAAAAAATAAATTTACCTGCTTCATTCATCAAGCAAATGTTAGCCCTTAGAGTTTAATCTGAAAACTTCAGTCCCATTAGTCTAAAACCTTCATTTATTCAAAGATTTAACAAGTTACAAATAGATTTTCTTTTGGTTCAATTATCTGGCTTCAACTTTGCAGCTACTTTTCAAGAAAAGAGAAAGAAGAGATTATTTCTGATTATTTATGGTGATTTATTGTTTAATTGGTTTTTATTTGTTAAAAGACTGTTTAAAATAACTCATATTGGGACAATATAAATTCCAGTTATAGAACAACATTTAGGCAGTGGCTGATTTTTGTCACTTTTTAACTTTCTGTTGTGTGAGAATTAAAATGAAAGTTGTTGTAACTCTAACCTGAGTTGTTCTACAGTTTCAGGTCTGTAGTGTAGTTCAGCTTTTAAAACTGAGGGTTGTGTAGAAAAGTTATGATCAACAATATCCGACCTGCTGGATATAACTGAGTTACTTCATTTTTGAGTTTCATTCTGACTGGACTGACGAGCTAATGGCTCGTCTGAGACCCTCCATCTTAAAACAACCCCACTTTAATTTCAGGCGTTTTGTAGCAGTTCTTACAGCATCCTGTAAAACCTGCTAAGATAGTAGGTGAAGGTAAGAGTGGAAAAACATTTTTGTGTCCAGAAAAAAAAGCAAACATGCAAATTATTTATTTCCACATTAAGTTCACATTAAATGCTGACATAAAACACAACAGAACCTTTACAAGTCCTATTTTCTCTCAACTTAAAACAAAATCAAATCATATTTTAAGAAAGATAACCATAAAACATGCAGTTTTTTCCCGTCATCCTTCCTATGAGCTGTTAAAGGTTTTTTATTGCTGCTCCTCCACAGCACCTGGTACTCACAGGTGGTTCCATCCCAGCACCAACCAGGTCCAGTCCTGTTAGCAGCAGAGCTCAGACATGTCCAGGATGTAATGTAAACACAACTTTTCATTAATATAAAACTTCTCACCACCTCTGATGTAATTTACTGCTGAACACTGAAGATGTCAGTGAAACAGTTTGTTAATCAGAGCTAAGGCTTGTTGTAGGACCAGGGATGGGAATTTGCACCCTCCACCATGTGTAATGAACTGATTAAAAACAGGCGTTCAAATCACGACCTTTTTCAAAAACTCTGTTTTTATTTTGCATTTCAGAGCCTGTAGTTGTTAAAAACATTAAAAACATTAAACAGCCATCTTCCAACACACTCTGTAGCTAGAAGTAAATTCTCAACTGTTTTTGACAGTTATCTGATTATGTTTTTTTCTGATTCAATTTTTTAAAACTAAATTAGGTATTTGTGCTTGAATCATAGACAAATATCTTAAAGGAGACCAATTATGGGTGGTAGAAATGTTTATGGTATGTCTGTGGACTATCCAGACCATGTTCATTCAATTTATTGCACAAAATAATTCTCAGATAATAAAATTTCCCATTTTCTAGTTCTGCTGCTCTGACTTCTGTTCAGAAGAGCTGTTTATGTTAATGAGCTCTGTTGGTAACGCCCTCCAAAAATCTGTTGACATTAACTCCGCCCTCCAAAAATCTGTTGACATTAACTCCGCCCTCCAAAGCCAGCATTTACGTTAGCATGGCTAATAAT